AAAGAAGTGGCTTACAACCTCACAACATACATATGCCAATGGCAAACTAGCAAAGAAGATTGGAAAGCAATTTCTAGAACTCAAAGTGAGCAACCAATGCTACCTGTCACACCATTTTGTATAACAGCATGCATACACACATCAACATGCCACAAGTATTGTACCACATGAAAAAACAAAAGGTAGATGTTGGTATTTTGAAGGAGGTTGTGATTCATATATGATACATACAATAAGAAAAAAAAAAGTTTTGATATTATATAACGCCACGGTTCAGTTCATCACAGAGATAACAATGCTATTCATTGTAATGCCACCTGCTTTTCATAAAAGAACGATTCAGTACATGAAAGTGGAAAATTAAGGGAAAAAATGCAACAAGAAAAAAATACAATACAAAAAAAAATTAATTCCAGGGTAGTAAACATCTAAATTCTGAAGATTATGTGTGGCACACTGACACAGTGCAGACAACTTTATTATTCACAGTTTCTACAGTAACAAAACAGAAAAAAATCTGGGGGACTGTAAAACAAGACAATCCATGAAGCATCACATTACCACAATCATACATTACACTCCAAGGCGTTATATAATAGCAAAATCAATCGTAAAGTACGGGGAGTTCAAAATATGTTCGGGGAGCAGTGGGGAGGGTGGTGACACAGTGTTTGTATGCATAATTATAATGCCTATATAATGGTTTTAGTCACCCATATACAAACTACAGATTGCAAGCACAGTCTAAACAGCTGTGGAAATTATTTAATACATTTTTGAGCCTATTTCAGTCACTAACTGCTTCAGTACCTGACATCACTCCTCAAACAGCTATTTTTCCCAATGCAATAACTCCCACAAAACTGGAGTAATTATTCCAGCCTTGCAAACTGTAATGAAAATTTATTTGACCAGGTACCAAATATATTTGTCATCTCTTACCAAGATAAAAATGGAAATGATAATGGTGTAAAGTTAGCAGTTTACCAAGTTCACAGTTTGAACAAACAAAATTTCACAGGGTTGCAATACATGCTTTGATAGTGTATGGTTACATACAATACTCAAATATTATTCACTGTCATTTTACATATTGCACTTATGAGACTCCTGTGTTCCCCTTACCCTTAACTGATACTGTGCAACACCTTCTACAGAACAAGAACAATGCAAGCATGGAAAAAATGAATAACCAGTCTTAGTAACCCCTAACTATTATATACCCTCTCATTTCTTTGCTGCTAAGAGTAGACATTGGCTCTGATACCCCTGTTCTTCACTGTAAGTGGTGAGGCACTGGAACAGACTGCCCACAGAAGCTGTGGCTGCCCCATCCCTGCCAGTGTTCAAGTCCAGGTTGGACAGGGCTTAGAGCAACCTCACTTAGTGGAAAGTGTCCATGCCCATGGCAGGGTGGTGAAACTAGACAACCTCTAAGGCCCTTTCCAACTCAACCATTCTATGACTCTGTGTTGTTAAGTCAGAATCATAAATCAAGAAGGCTGAGAGACTGGCTGCCAGAAATGCTGTTTTCGGGCACTAGCAATCATAATTCCAACTAAAAGCTATAAATGAACACTTAACACAATGGTTAAAACATTTGTCTACTTCTGTGATTTTTTCTTTAATCAAACAGTTAAAAGGGTAAAAGGGTATATAATAAACACATACATGCATGTGTGCACACATGTAACGTCTCTTTACTGGTTCTTATGCTTTTAAGGTGAAACATCTGCCTTGTTTCCCCAAAGCCTACTGACAGTTTCCCAACAGTACTATGTAGGATGGCCATCTTGGATGATCAGTAAATATATTTATAATACTTTTCAGATTAGTATAATGCAGCTTTTAAAAGCTATAATCTACTCCTGCTACAATGTCATAATCAGCTAGACTGTCTCAAATTTTTGGCCCCAAATGACAAACTGGACCCTACAAAACACAAGTACATTTCCTTATTGAAAGCTGCTCTCAATAACTGCAGGTGGTCTAGGTAGCACAGATACAGTCTCAGGGAAAGACAAATTACTTTAAAAGTCATATAAGAATGGATTTACTTGAATTTTGTTCTTTACAACAGCCACTCAATTCAGCTATGTCAAGTCCTGTTGGGAATTTTTCAGATGATTTTTTTAAATTCATTTTTTAAACTGTCCTCCTGCTAATATCTTTATAATTTAGAGTTCTGATTAGCCTCAGGTAAAGGTTACACCTCATGAATGAAAGGTAGTTGATTTTAAACAGCACAAACGTAACTCCAGAGACAAAAATCAAGTAGCCCATTTTACATATATAATTATGTATGTTTATTTTCAGTGACAAAACCATGAAATGCAAGAAACATATTAATCAGTAATGCTTCAACAATATAGAATAAATAGCTGCTTATAAATTGTAAGCTGACATACCCACTTTGTTCACATTTCTTCCCAACTGACATTCACGAAGTTTGTTACACATTGCAAAGTAAAGGGATGGGAGTTATAAATGTACTTTATTAACATTTACCAGATGAGTTTCCAATAGTCAGTGGAAAAGCTTAAATTAGACTGTAGTTCAATCAAACAAATCAAGGTATCTCAGAAACAATGGGAAATGGATAGGACACTGATATGTTTTGTTAAACGGATATAAACTGAAAAGATGAAATTTACACTGAAAGATTTGCTCCGTAAGAGGATAAGGTGCACCTGGGGCAGGGAAGAGGGAAGAAATGACTATTCACCTGACCTAGTATTTTAATAAATATAATCAATCTTGAACAGGCTGACTTTATGCCAGCCATTTTTAACACATCCAACCACATTCAAATTTGTTCACTGTTATTTTATGTCACAACATAATAAAAGCGGCTTTCATAAATTCTCTCGGTATACCATATCTATATTTATATATTATATATAATATATAGAAATCCTGTATCTATAACTGGGATTCATAATAAAATAATTTGAAACCAGTCTAAAGATTTGGTATATAATTAAAAATGCCTTTGCCTCTGTAATAATAATATTCACGCCAAAACATTAAAAGTGCTTGTCATGTCTTCAGAAATGCAATTCTAGGATCCGAGGCACTGGAATGGCCACTGGTAAAATTACCAGAACTGAGTAACAACCCTTCAGTTTCTGTGTATGCGAGAAAAAGTTTCAGTCGAGAGACTAACACAAACACAGTAAGATGCCCCCTCCCACATCCCTGTGGGCATTCCTTCTGAAACAAGAAAGAGAGGAAAGCTGAAAAAGGAGAAGCAGTCATACAGCAAAATCATATGCCCAAGCTGCTTACTGAAAACTTTCTGACCTAAACAGTATGCAACTACTGAGAAGCTATATAGTTCAGGATAACCAAAGAGATGCACCAGATTAAAACCACAACAAAGCCAAGAACATGTTCAATTTCAAAGCATCCTTCCAATACCGCCAGGTACTTGACACAACAGAGCTCTTCCGGGGACACAGAGAAGGTGCATATAGTGAGTAACATTTACCTTCTAGATCTCCCATGCTGCAGATCACAGTACCTTACAGTGGGGATTAATTACTTAAATAGCAGTAAAACAATACAAAAATTAACATACTGTAAGATGTAATGTAAGGTACTGTGCCAACTTCATAAAAATAGAAAGTAATTAGGGTACTCCTTGATGTACCAGCAGAGATTTCAAATTTAAGACGAAAAAACACAGAAAAAACAAGTTCTAGATTCACAGAACCAGGACCAAAGCTTCATTATGAAAAGGAGATGCAAACCTAAATATATGGATATATTATATAAACTTCCAGTCATTCTCTACTGTTTTCATAGTCATCTCCATCAATGGAAATGGAACTTAGTCAACAACATGGCAGCCAGTATTTAAAAAATTAGTTTAGTTGGCTTAGTTAAGACTAAGAGTTGTTTTTTTTTTCTCCAATTGAAATACTCCTACTTTTATAAAAAGATTGAATTATAAAATTCAAGAGTGACAGCTGATAAATTTCCTTACATTGTATTTGTTATACTCAGATTTTTAAAGTTAATTTTAAATTATTAACAATTTTGTATTAAGTTTACAGCCAAAGTCTAAATTTAAGTTTAGACAAACTTTTCTTAATCTGTTTTTTAAAAACAGAAATCTTGCTGTTTGAGGTTCACTGCTGATACTGCACTGAGGAGTCTAATTCACATCCATGATGTCCGCACAACATAAGCTGTACTGCAATGAACAGGATTAAACTGAAATGTTATCTCACAATAAAAAAAAAAAAAAAGGGGGTGGGGGAAGAAGACACTGTGCTCCCATATTACTGTACACACAGCCAAAGTTGCAAAAGCAAGAAAACACCACCTTATTTGCCTGCTTCAGCTTTTCTAGAAAGCAAAAACATGTAGGAAAGATTCATTTAACACTCTAGGTAGGAAGGGGAACAGGAGAAAAAAAAATTCAGTTCTGGAAGGTTAGAATTAATTCAAATATTAACAGAAAATTTAGTTAATACTGACCCCAGCTCTTGTGAAGCAATACTTTCAGGCCAAACCAGGAATGCTCTCCCATACAAAAATAAAAAAGCTAGTAATACTGCATCTAGTAGCTTTGAAGTATCAGGTTCAAACTGAAGGTACTGAGAGGACATTTTACAGTTGGTGCCAACAGAATTACAGTTTAACAGTAAGAAACCAGAAATACCCAATTATGAGCTACAGAGTGAAGTTAACATTAGAAGCCAAATGATAATTGAAAAGAATCAGAGACATGCCTAGATTGGCCAAAAGATTCCCTTTTTCAATTTAAATTACCAACTAGATTTTTGTGAAGATATGAAACAATATGCTGTTACAGTAAGTTACCTAGATGCAGTTAGGACCAGAGCAGGGCATGTGGTCAGTACGACCACAGTATGCAGCAAGAGGGAACAAAAAAAAATAATTCATCTCCTTACAACATACTTTTCTTGTTTTTCTGGATAAATTTTCACCACAGTAGGCTCGAACAAGCAACTACCCAGTCAAAAACAGGATTATTTTTTTCTTAAATAAGACACACCCATCATGGTGAAAGTTTAGAGTAGATCTCTTCAAACAATAAACTAAATTTGCCAGTCTGGCTAAATTACAAATTCTATGAATCCCTAAGATTTGAAAATCTGTGTTGCTCTAGTAAGAATAAAGTTTGCACAGTTCTCCTGTAGTTTGAGAACTAGTTCCTCTTTTTCTTCTTCCTAGCCATTAGAAATGATTACTTTATTATTTCAATTTGATTTACTCCAGACTTAACAAAATGATAATCCTGGATCCACCATTTCCTTCCTCTCATCATTGATGTCATAAGTTAATGCTGCAACTAAGGATGTGTAGGACTGTGCAGAATTATTTTTCATATTAACAATTACATCCCATCAATTAGCTCAATCACTCTAACACCACCAAATAAAGTGATTGTGAACACAGTATGTGAGACGAATATATGGCACTTTCAAAACCTTTTAATCTTTAACACAATCCATCAGAAAATGGAACACTCTGTGCTGGTCTTACAATTCAGAAAATTGATGCAGTAAGTATGAATAACCTACTCAAGGCCACAAAGGTAAACATCATCAGCCAAGACAAAAACTCCAAAGGTCAGGCATCAAGTCCTCTGTTCAGGCTATAACACAGTGATAAATCTTGTTCAATATTTGAAAGCCCTTCCAGCAAGGAAGTTCTCCAAAGAATTAAGAATTCATCATGATTATTTTTTTTACTTTAGCTGGGATTTTTCTCTATTTTGTCCACTGCTGAGCAATGAAAACACTTCCAGTAAAGTCTTTAGTGTTACAAGATACGTGTGTGGGTGCGTTTGTGTACACGCACATATACAGAATTTCAGAAGAATAAAACCATTATTATTTCATTTAGTTAATAGAAAACAGTTTTAAATGCTACACTGTGTCTTCTTCCAAAGTGGGCCTAATATAATTTGTGATTCGATAACCAGTTTTCCATTTCAAGGATCTCTTAATTTGTCAGAATCTCTAACAAAAATAATGACACAGAATCATGGAATAGTTTGGGTTGGAAGGGACCTTCAAAGGTCATCTAGTCCAATCTCCCTGCAAAGACAGGGTCACAGAATAGTAGAGACAATGAATTAGATTCTCAAGTGTGGTTCACTAAGAATGAACAATGACCAGCCCTCCTAGTTTTTAATTTTCATCTTTCATGAAAGAGCCTTTAAAAGTACAATTTCACTTCTCTGACAAAATTCATATCCACTATCCTGAGAATTTCTAACCTGTAAAAATCACCTATGAAAAATGTATTGATGGTATCAGTTTATTATAGTGATCTAATCTAAAGAGGTTAAAACAACAATATTTGGGTACGGTTTGGTGGAGAAGAATAGGATGTGCTTTTTGTTAATTATATACTATACCGACAAAAATGATACTGACTATACTGCAAAGGCAATGTGAAATGTAATGCAAGGGGTGAGAGGAAATACAAAAAAGCCTCTCACAAGATAAGCACATACAGAGACAACATTTCAACTCTCATTACTTGCCATTTAAGCAACAAACCTGTTCTCAGCTCTTTTGAGAGCATTTTCCCTAGTTCATGCACAACTGAAGTGATCCCAATTTTAATACAATTTGTATCAAGTACTGCCTTTGGAGGACAGAATAACCACAATCTTAGCCAGAAATATTAAATAGGAGAAGACCTGCAATACAAATACATAGCTCACAGAAAAAAAAACACCCAACAATTCAGAAGAATAAATAAATAAAAAAAAAAATAAAAAGCAGCACAATCCTTTGGTAGGTCCAATAACAATTTGAACAAAGATTGACAGTGGCCAAGCAATTTGAGGTGATTTCATGCATATGTATGTATTTGTAGTGTATCTCTATTTCATTCAGCTTCTACTGTCTCTGTGTTCTTCAGTAATCAAGTATTTGATTTGTAAGACGCTACATTAGTGCCAGCAGACACAAAATTGTGTAATAAATACACTCTTCACAAAATATAAAAGCCATTCACTTAGTGAAGAAAGCACTGCTCTTCAGCTAAGTGGAAATGAGTATCTTCCTTTCATTTTTTTTTTTCTTTTTAAATAGCTTTGCCTAGCCACTTAAAGAATCCCAGCTGCCACAAAGTCATACAAACGCCAAGCCCTGCTCTGTTTAAGTTTCTGTGCCATACATAGCTCACTTCAGGAGTGCAAAGAGGATACTTCTTGCTGAACTAGACCATAAGAAATTTCCTTCGTAGATCAAGTGAAAAAACATATCCAGTAATTCTTCAATTTCAGCAATTCACTTGAAATCAGTTCCATTACAGAAGCATCAAGTCATTGGTTCTTGTTTTATCACACCCTTTATAAAGACAGGTTTGTTACAACAGCCTTGAAGGGGACTGGCAGTTAGGTTCACACTGGCCGTGTTCTTGGAGAGAAACACTTTGGAAGAACTGTGGTTCAACAGTATGGGGCTTTTGGAATTCAGAGCCGAGTAGCCCTCTGGGACTAAAGTCACAGAGGTAGCGGCAGGTGGCACCACAGACTTCTTAGGAAATAAAATTTTGCTTTGTTCTAGAACATGGTTTATAGAAGAGGTGGATGCATCAGATAGTGATTCGTTTATCACTTCATTTGGGATCTTACTATAAAGGTAATTGGGGGCATTATTCTCCATTACATCTGACCAAGCCCTGTAGCGAACTTCCGCAGCTCCCCAGTAGTGTCTAATAGCAGATTCAGAGCGATGGCCTGTCACTGCCATTATTTCTCTAGGCCCCAGTCCTGCTTCACACAGCAGCTGGATGGTGGTAGTTCGGAGAGAATGATTGGTGTATCGCTGAGAGAGCCTGGCTGCCACACTTATCCTGGGCATCATGGTACCTAAGTAGTTCACACCCATTGGTTCTCTTTTGTACCAGACAGGCTGTTCTTGCATTTGCTCTGATGTTAACTTTAAAGGATGCAGGTAAAAGGCAGGGGGCTCTGGAGGCAACTTAGACAAATAAAGCTCCAATGAAAAAACAGGACAGTTTGGGTTCCCTGGCATATCATACATTTTACCCATTTTATGACGATCTTCTCCATTTTTTCCTTTGCCAGGATACCTAAACATAGCGTATCGACGCCCATTCTTGTCCTTCTCAACAACAAAAGCATCTGGAGCCAGATCTCTTAAAATTTCCCTCCCTCGTTTGGCAAAATGCAACTGCAAATCAAACCACACCTTGTTGACAAGTGCCAGTGGACTGTGCAATCCCAGCACACCAGATTCTTTAATCTTACGCAAGTCCTCAGCAGCTATAGGAGGATGGTGGTGAGTCTCATCCTTTCCCTGCATGCGCAGCATCTTCAGCACACTCACAAATACCATGTTTGCACTAGCAAACTCTTTGTCCTTCATTAAGCAAATCTGACGATTGTAAGGTGGCATTTTGAGATGCCGGTTTAAACCGGCACGCATTGACTTGTAGCTTGCCACACTGTAGGTATTTCCATCATGATTTCTTATTGTGTAATAAAACTCTCTTAAGATATCATTGAGTTCACTTACTGGGACCAATTCAAAGCTAGGATCCTTGCCATTTTTGGTCAGCCATTGTTTTAATAGGTTAGCTGCCCAGCCAGTCTGCTTGTGGGTGTTTTTTATGCTCTTAGCATCCTCTTCCTCTTCCTCCAAGCCAAAGAGGACATCCTCGGGGAAGTTAAAATTCGTCTGTGCTTCTTTATTTTCTGATGAAGTCTCCTCCTGTTTCAACTGCTTTTCGAAACAATTGATCAAAGTTGTACCATCAAATATGCCACAAGTATACGGCATACAGCGAACTACTTTTTGATTTGAGAGCTGTGAAGTGCGGAGTAATACATAATATTTTGCATTTTACATAACAAAAAGCAGGTGGCATTAACTGAATTTTTCAAATGATATGGCATATCAAGTCCATACCCTGCTAGCCTATTAAAAAGCATCAGGCCCTTCTTTATTAACCACGGCATTACACATGCTTTAACTGATTTGGCTGAAAGCAAGCCTAGAAACATTTTCAGAATACTGAAAACCGGAAAGCATCAAGTGTCTTTTTTTCCCTCCTCCTTGCTCACTTTGCATTGCTAAATACCACTCTCACAATCTGTTTTTCCAGAATTTTTTCTAGGTTTCAGGCTGTAGCAAAGAAGAAAATTTCCAAAATATACTGAAAATTAAATCTTAGTCTTAAAACCATATATCTGTTGTCCATTCTGGTATTGAATTTCCTACATCTCAAGTACTGACAAATGTTTTAATAGCTATAATCCACAGGTACCTTTGAAAAACTGAAGTTCCAAACAATCATTCATTATGAAATACCTTAATAAAAAGGTAGAATGAGGCACAGTATCTTTGCCAGATTATTTCTGCAACAGCTGAACAGTCTTGTCTAGTATATTTTCTTCTTGCTTTGAAATACAATTCAGATTTACCTGTACCTTGAAACAGAATTAAATGTGGAAATTTTCGCTAGAATAAATTAATTTTATTCCCCTTAAACAAAATGACTTCAAGTTAACAACAATGTAAGTATGAGGTACTTTGTAAAGTATCTGTACATGAAAAGAAAATTAATTATGAATAATTTAAAATATCTTAACTTTAACCTTTAAATTTCAAAGCAAGTTCAACAAATTTTACATGAGGAAACCAGAAATACTGCAAGTTCTCCTTTGTCATGAAATAGTTATTCTTGAAGAAAGTTTCCTTGGATTTTTTTTTTTTACATACAGGATTGAAATATTAGAACTCCGATTCTTATTAGCTTCTGGATTAGAATGGAAATGAGAGAGCTAAAGTAATTTAAAAAATATTTGTAGCTTTAAGCTCAAGTTACTCAAGACAAAAAGTGGGTAGGGTTTTCTTTTGTATGTTAGCTCTGTTTCATCGGACAATTTTTAATGTGCTCCTGAATTACTAACTCATCTATTTACCAAACTCCATCAAAAAACTTTTGAGAAGATTATCAGAAGCAGATGCTCCAAGTAATACTCTGGATCAGAAGAAGAAAATTACAAATGGACAGAAACTAGAAATGATGTCACAAAAAAAGAAACGAAAATTGTTTCCTTATGAACAATAAAGGTAAAGAACTTTTCTCCTGTGGATTGTAACTTTAGAATTTTATATAGAAACAATCAACAACCTACCTGTGGTGTTCCCTCAGCAGTTCGCTTGTTTGCCGAAGTATCTGTTGGTGGCCTGCTTGTCTGGTTTTCTGAGGGGTCAAGAAATTGTTCATTTGCAGTATCTAATCAGAACTAAATACTGCTATCCACTATACAAATTTGGAGGCAATATTCAAAACTGATACTGAACATCTAGTACATGGCTTATTTTACAGCTCTAATTTTCAATTTTAAGTATTCAAGCTTGATTACTGCCATTTTTCAAAAGGAATAGAAGATACGGAAAAGCAAAATGGTACTTTCCAGCCTAAAAGCAGTGTATGTTCCCCTCCTTGGAAGTCTGACAATGTATTCAAAACATTTTGTGAACAATTCCCTTGCCTATTGAGGACAAAGCATAACTACAAGCTCTCCTCTCTCTGTATGTAAACTGACAAGATACTAAACTGAAAAGTGCTACAATTTTTCAACATTTTTTGTACAGAAAATTGACTGAACAACGGATGGTTAGACAGCAAACTACATAACTGAGACAACTTGTGCAGGGAGACCAAGTGTCTTTATTAGCTGAGTCAAACGTACATCTAAACTAACAACTTAAACAGAAGTTGCTTAAATATTTTATGTAAACATTTAAATCCAAATTCTCTGTTCTTATTCCTTTTAATTTTAACCAGAGCTTATCAGCAACAGTGCTAGCCCAAAGCAGTGTTTCAATTCTGTTGAGAAAACTACTAGGGTATACACTAAGGCTACTTGAACTGCATAAAATGAGACACCTTTTTTTGACTCATAAGGCCCTTTGGTCACTGTGCTTCATCTGTCACAATCTTTTTTACATTGTGCTATATCACTGTATTAGCTTTAGAGCTAAAAATCAATGCAAGGCCTGTAACTATCCAACTCTATGGAAGGCATGTTTTAATACAGGTAATTTAGAGATGGGAAA